CAAAAGCAGATGGGGAGGGAAGAAGCCCCAAGATTTCCCAGGGAGTGGATTGAGTAGCTGGGTTGTACTGTATGCAAAGGATCAGGGAGAGTAAAGGTAAGCCTCGGAGCCCCCAGTAAGAGGCTGTCAGCCCCAGAAAGAGGCTGTCGGGTGTTGCAGGACCAGGGAAGTAGAGGGAGGTGAGGGCGGGGGCCAGATCCAGAAGCAGTGCTCCTGGGTGAAAAAGATCAGGAAGCAGTATTGGTTCCACAGGAGTCTGGGGCCCCAAGACTAGGAATGGTGCAGGGCCTGACAAGCAGGGGGGATGGCAGGGTGAATGTGGCTGGGATCCAGAAGCAGTGCTCCTGGGTGAAAAGGATCAGGAAGCAGTATTGGTTCCCCAGGTGTCTGGGGCCCCAAGACTAGGAATGGTGCAGGGCCTGAACAGCAGGGGAGATGGAAGGGTGAATGTGGCTGGGTGAGTCACGGCGCAGAGGGCTGTGCTATGGACTTACCCCAAGAGGCCTGAGGATAGGAGTGCCAGTTTTTTTGTTTTTTAAGAGAAATTGGTTTAGTTAATTTTTTTTTATTTGAATGTGCAGTGATACACATTTATGTTATTGGACAAGCAATCTGTGGCCTAGGAATGCTTGAGCTCATGTGTTCTTCATTGACTACTAGATTCCTAACATACCATTAATGTGAATTACATCAGTATAGAGATAATACACGTACAAATAATTTAAAATAGCCTGTTTACCATGATTTTTCTAAGAATACACAATACTGACCTTGACTTTGAAATAGATGGAAAATGTAGGCGTTATTTTGAAGAGACTAAAGGTGAAACTAGTGATGAAACAGAAAAAAAGAATAAAGTACATTAGTACATTTAGAAATAATTTTTAACTTCTGGAATGATAGGAAATATTTAAAATGTAGAATAAAAGTAAGTAATAATTTATCACTTTCCAGTGCTCTGAAGATTGTGAGTGAAAGTGTGGAGTAAGTGCTGAGAATATTTTCTTTTTTGCAGATACCTAGCAAAATGGTGTGAATTAAAAAAAAATTTTTATTTATTTTATGTGTGCGAGTGTATTGCCTGCATGTGTCTAAGTGCACCCGTGTTGTGCAATGCCTGCGGAAGTCAGAAGAGGGCATCAGATCCTCTAGAGCTGGAGTTGCTGATGGTTGTTAGCCACCATCTGGCTGTTGGGAATCAAACCTGGGTCCTCTGAAAGAGTAGCCAGTGCTCTTAATTGCTGAGCCATCTCTCTAGCCCCAATGGATGGGAATCTTAAAAACATGTTTGAAAGATTTAATTTTTGTGATGACAGAGTAACAAAATAATAACTATCCTCCCTCTTCAGTGTATAATGTACAGATAATGAAATGAATAAAATTATGATTCATTTATAGATCTGGAGAGATGTATCAGTAGTTGAGTAATGACTGCTTTTGCAGAGGACCTGGGTTCAATTCCCAGCACTCACATCCACTTATAGGGGAATCCAATGCCTTCTTCTGACTCTGAAGGCCTTGCATGACAGTGTTGCTTAAAT